CCGTTCGCTCAGTTTAGTAATCCGTTCGCTCAGTTTAGTAATCCGTTCGCTCAGTTTAGTAATCCGTGAGCACAGTTTAATAATCCATGAGCACAGTTTAGTAATCTGTTCGCTTAGTTTAGTAATCCCTGCGCACAGTTTAGTAATCCGTTCACTCAGTTTAGTAATCCGTGCGCACAGTTTAATAATCCGTTCCTCAGTTTAATAATCCGTGAGCACAGTTTAGTAATCCGTGCGCTCAGTTTAGTAATCCGTGCACACGGATTTCCAGCGGCTGTTTTTTTTTCTCCCACTGACCCCCCGGCGGGCTCCGTAGATTTCTTTTCCATACGAGTCGTATTTTTATTCTGCCTTATTTTTAGTGTCTTGTTAAAACATTCCAGATGTTTCCGACATTCCAGCAGACCTGTGCAGGTAACAAACCCACAATTACCAAAACATAAAGTACCTGCAACAGGTCTGAGTCACTGCCTTCTTTGCCTTCAACACATCAAAACACATAACTTCAACTGTTTATGCTGTTATAACTTAAAAACTGATAATTGTGTTACAAATGCTAACTAGGAGTAATCTTAGATTAAACGTTAAACAAAATGGGACTAAATGTGCTGTTAAAAGTGATCATTTAGGTCAAATCTCCTGTTACATGTTGTTGGAACAGGTTTGTCTCACCTGCACACAGTAGCTGTAATAGTAATTTTTAAAAAAACACTTATTCTGCCACAAAGTCCCAGTTTTATTTGTCTACACCAATTCTGAACTTGTGTGTGCCATTAATGATAAATGTAGCTTTCACTCTGTGTTTTGTAATCACACGGCCTATATATATAAAACAGATGAAAAGTTAAATTTGTAGTAAAGATGTTTATAGAGTCATTTATTTAACGTCRTGTGATTTCCGTGTACTTGTAAACTGCCTTTGCTAGCTCCTACTCTTGAAGTGTGTTAGCAGCTAGTTAGCAACCAGACAGGTCAAAACATCATGTTTCCATTAATATAGAGCAGTTATTTAATCAAACCAAAGAACAGTGTTGGTGGTAGTAAACATTAAAAAGACATTTTTCATTATACAGTAATTAACTGCTCATTTTATGTTTAAATTCTCAGGTTTTCTAGTTTTCCTAGACACTAGCTATAACTAGCCGTTGCTAAGTGTGGAATTAGCATCACTGCTAAACAGCTACGTGTGGAAATAGCATCACTGCTGAATAGCTGACAGGAATTAGCATCACTGCTAAGCAGCTAAGCGAAAAAATTTGCATCACTGATAAAAAGCTACGTGTGAATTTAGCATCACTGCTAAAATGCTGACTGGAATTAGCAACATTGATAAACATAAGTGTGGAATTAGCATCACTGTTTAAAAGCTACGTGTGGACTTAGCATCACTATTAAAATGCTGACTGGAATTAGCATCACTGCTGAATAGCTGACAGAAATTTGCATCACTGCTGAATAGCTGACAGAAATTCGCATCACTGCTAAACAACTAAAGTGTGGAATCAGCATCAGTGATTAAAAATGCTAAATGGAATTAGCATCACAGCTAAACACCTAAGTGTGGAATTAGCAACACTGTTTCATTTCTAGCATCCTAGTTAGCCTACAGGGACTTTTATTTTTGACATACACATTTCTTGTTTAACCCGAGAATATATATAGAAAGCTACAGTAACTGCCCTCGTAAAAGACCTCAAATATCACGTGTTTTCAACCCAACAGAGGGTATTTTTTAAACTCTCTAAAATCCCACCCTTTGCATCTCATTCACCAGGTAATACATCGATGAATATATCTTATAATTGCCAAATTAATTGCACTTTTATGATATTTAAGACCACTGCCCACTCTAATCAATATTTTGTAGTTCAGAAGATGCTGTGTGAAATAAATCCACTCCACTTTGAAGTCACTTAGTGTCACTCCTGCACCCTCTCACAGGTTTAATAAACTGCCTGACAAACCTGACTTTTAGAAGAATAATACTTTGATGTGACTTGAATGTAACTGTCTGACTTTTCTCTCTTCTCACGTCTGTCTTTATCCGTTCTGTCGAGGAGATGCTTACACAGTGCYCCTTTTTAAAAAAAAAAACTCTTTCGTGTGTGTAGTCTGTCCTTTTTCTGTCGTCTGGTGGTTGATATTTTGTGGGAAAAAGAAAATCGAAACATGTTTATTTGGTGTATTATTTGGTACTGTGAAGTCTCCTCGCCCTCCTTCCCTCCCTCGTTCTCTTTCTCTGTATCCACCCCCCCCCCTGCGTTAACTAAAATGTATGCATGCTTATGGTGTGCAGTGTAGACAAAGGTTGTTGATGTAAACGTTTCGTGTCCTCACTGTGTTTCAAAGCTCCACCTGTTAGCCTCACTGCATGCCATTTTAGAATATTTTAACCTGTAACTTTCCTGCAAAAAAAATGGAATCACCGCACACTGAGAATAAAGTGATTTCATAGAATTTTTCATCGTCTTGTGTTTCTGCATTTAAACTGCTCTGTAGCAGAATTTTAGCTTATCCTACATACAGAAGAGACAATAGAAGCTTGCATTTCTGATTTTTAAGGAAGCACCACCATTAATTTGTGAGACTGAGGCTATTTCAGTTGTGGATCATCTCATTGCATGACGTTCGTTCAGGAATGTGCTAAAACTCTGATGTAAACCACAAGTTGCTGTTTTTGTCAGTCGATCCTGTTTTTTTTCCATCTCAACATGACTGTTTTTTACTTTCTTTCTCAAAAAAAGAGGTTTTTAAACATCTATTCAATAAAAGTGCTAAGGGCTGACAACAGAAYAGTGTGTTGTTCCGATCATGACCTAAGCTGAGGTTCAAACATCTCTAACACAAGCTGGTTTGTCAGAAGTGAGTCAGTTTTAATTTTATATAAAATACATATTTTTAATTTATTTATATGCCCTGCAGAGACCTAAAAATGATGTCCTCATATGAGGACACTGGGTCTCAAAATGTCAATTACCATACAAAACTTGAGTAACGTCATGATAGCCTTTCTGGTGGTTCCTTTTTCCCAGTTATTTTGGCAATACACCAGCCAGCTGTTGACCAGAGCAACATTAGTGAAGTGCAATATCATCATCATCATCATCGACAACTTTCAGATTGCTCTTCAGTTTGAAGAACATAAAACATGACATGATGGCAGGAAATCGCAGACCCTTTG